GTTAAGGCCGTCTAAAGCTGGGTGTCTCAACTGTTTGTTTAGGTGCAATTTCTGAAAAAATGTGGTGTCAATCTTTAGGACTGACCCAGCTGTTAAATTCTTGAGTTTGTTTGTGGCCCTCAAAGGTTTTGATGTCAGAGAAGCACATTTAGATTTGATGTTTTCAAAAGTCTAATGGTTACTTTCGCAAAAGTGGTAGACGTTTTTTCCCCAGCCGCGCTTAAGCCGGCATGATCACGTTTCTGCACCGAGGTGAGGCCGCAGAGCCACTTAACATCCCCCGCTGATATTTGATAGAAGCTTGAATCTGTATTTGGGGGCAGAACGGGACGATGGCGCCTGCAGGAGCACCGATTTCTTTCTTAAAACTCCAATAAGTGTCATGCATGTTAAATCGTTTGCAGTTTTCAGCACCGGGCTTTACCCACAAGAGAAGCCGCTGAGAAATAAGCCATTATTTGCAACTCAATCCCATTTGATTTGTCTGTGCAGTGAAAGCAAATAGTTCCCATTGAGTTCTGTGAAACAAGTAAACCATAACATTTGGTCAGCGTCTCTCTTGTGGTTTGAGGGGAAACCAAAATATCCCATTCAGAGCAGGCTTCCACAAGCTTCTCTGTGCACACTGAACTCCTGCTGAACTGCTTGTTAATGATTATAACCCTGATATGTGCGGGTATATATGGTAAATGAGGGCACACTTAGGAAACCACAGGGGCCTTGTTATGCTTTGCTATTCTCTTACGGCTTAAGGAGGTCCACCTGTTCCCCGTTAAGTCATACCATGTTGCTGTTAAATCGGGATATTTCAAACTAACACAAAATCAGTGCTGTCAGTGAGTCTGCTCCAATCGTTTTTTGGGTTAAAGGTTTCATTAAAAAGAAAGAAAAACACTATGCTTCTCCTCTTTAACACATTATAAAGCCAAACAAGATTACGAAGGCTAACAGACTTGGAAGTATTTGTCAAAAATCTGATGAAAAGGATAGCAGCATGAATGTGAAAATAATTTCAGACCGTTTTTTAAATGAGGAGGGGGTCATTTCATGCCATGTTGTTGCAGTGGAGTGAAAACCCTTCAACGCTCATGTCGGTACGAAAAAATTGGGGATTCAAATGTTCTTTTTGCACTCACTTTGAGCTGTATTGAGCATCTGGTGAGCACTTCCATGCAGTAGAGCATCTGTTAGCATGCTAGCTTGAAATCAAACTCATTTTGTATTCTTATGTGTTTTTATTCATCCTAAAGAATAATAACCAAAAGGAATGACCTGACACTCAGGTGTTTCTTTCTTCTTCGGTGTTAACACCACGAAAGGAAACTACGGAAACAAGTCTGTCATGCTTGGATAAAGTTCCAGGAAGGGGAATCATATTTTCGTTTTTAATTATTCCTGCACGATGCCAAAGTATTTTCATGTATTTCTTTTGGAAGGAACACATTCCCATTAGGCTGACATAATTCATCTTGTCAGAATAAGCAGTCAGACACTGTTATAACTGTAGTTAATCAGTCAACAGGGGGTTAAAAACATATTATTAACACTTAACAAGAATAACTTTTTATGAGTTTTTCAATGTAAATACTTGAATGCTCCTCTAAATGTGAGTCACATTAGTTTGCGATAGATAGCGTCACAAATCACTTCAAACCGATTAGACTCTAGTCATTAGAGGAGGATTTTCGGGGGCATTACATTACATGTCACTTGTTAGACTTACATACTCAATACTGTGGGCAATCCCCTCAGGAGCAATTTGGGGTGAAGTGTCTCAGGGACATTATATATTTTAGCAGTTTTTTAAAACTAGCACCTAGAGGTTTGAAACATTGCCTGTTGGAGCTCCGTTAGTACTGTTTTGAAAACTGTATAACATTTGAAATCGAATTCACTTTCAAAAACATATTTTGATGGAAGGTAGAGCACATTACCCAATAGTCATGAACTTCTCAATTATGGTTTCCTATTATACATTCACTTTAACTCAAATAACCTGTTCTTTAGACCAGTGGTTCTCAAATGGTGGGTCGCGACCCAAAAGTGGGTCGCGGACCCGTTTCGAGTGGGTCGCGGATGTGTGAGTGAAGAACAAAAAAAAAAAAATTGGAATTATTATTATTTTTTTTAAAGTCAAATTAAAAGTCAAACTTTTATTTTGAAGGCCCGATTTTCTAACGCTGTGCATGCAGTCGGCGTTGGACTGGAAGTACCGGAGACCATCA